TATGCTACCAAGCCCAAGGCAGGTGATTTTAATCTGTGGTCCTCAGTCCTGGTTTAAATTGTTTTTTGTCAAACATTTTTCTAAGTGGTATAGCACTGGTCTGTGCATTGCTGTACAGAGGTAACTTGTGGTTGCTGTGATGCTAAACCCTTTGACACTGATGTGTCAAATGAGATAATGGTTACCCATGGTGGACAGTTTTTGGTGGAGCTTCCCAATTAAAACAAACTTGGAAGCAAGAGTGGTATCCACTTCTGAAATAGCTTGCCTCTGGAAACTATGAACATGGAGAAATGACCAAAGTTATACAAGTGTTAAGGTCTTTCGTTCATAGGGTCGCTGTGGGTTGTCTACGACTCATGGATACTTAACAACAACATTTCACTTTATGTATATATTATTTTTTAATTTATCCAGTTCATCCATTGATGGACGTTTGGGTTGTTTCTACTTTTATGTTATTTTGAATAGTGCTGCAGTGAACATGGTGTACAGGTTATCTGTTTGAGACTGTGCTTTCCTGTTTCTCTTTAATTTATCCAAAAGTAGAATTTCTGAGTCATACGGTAGTTCTTTAACTTTTTTCTTTTTTTCTTTTTCTTGTTGTGTTCCCTTGAATTGGATCCGATTGGCATAGGAGATTACCCCTCCTTCCCCAGCAGAGCATCTAGTGGATTCAGTGTGCCTTTGGGATTGCGGCACAGCTTCTTGCCATTGGGCCAGAAGGGCTCCCTTAACTGTTTAACTTTTGGTGAACAGTCAATTACTGTGCCATTTTGTTTCATGTTGTCATCTGTTTCCATAATCTAAAGACAGACAGTTCCAATCCACCAATTATTCTGTGGGAGAAAGATGGGGAATCTCCTCCCATGCAATTTACAGCATCTGAAAACCAGCTCTAGGGTCAGCTATAAGTCGGTTCTGATTTGATGGCACATAACAGCTACTACTGGTAATACATATGGCTCCAGTTTCACTAAATCCTTCCCAATATTTGTTATTCTCCAGGTTTAAAATTTATTTTTTAGAATATAATAGTTTTAGTAGGTGTGAAGAGGCTTCTCATTATAGTTTGGATTTTCATTTCTCTAATGACTAATGGAGATCTCCAGTAGCCTAGTGGATAGTGAGTTGCACTGCCTACCCAAAGGCAGGTGATTCAACTCCACCCACTGCTCTGAAGTAGAGTAATGGTGGAAACCACCCGGAGGGTCAGCTATGAGTCGGTTCCAACTCAACCACAGTGAGACAGAATGACTAATGATGTTAAGCACCTTTTCATGTGTTCCTTGGCCACTTGGGAATGTCAGCTCATGGCCTTGGCCTTGGCCAGTGTGTTGCTTGTTTTGTTGCTTCTGTGTTTGAGTTTTAAGGGCTCTTTATATATTCTGGATATTGATCCCATATCAGATACATGATTTACAAATACATTCTTCATTCTCTGTGTTCTCTTAATAGGATCCTTTGATACAAAACAGCTTTAATTTTGGTAAAAACTAAGTTACTCTTTTTCTCTCTTTTTGTTTGTATTCTTAGAGTCATGTCTAGAACTCCATTGCCACATTCAAGTTCTTGAACCTTTTCGTCTGTTTACTTGAAAAGTTCTACAATTTTAGATATTTAGGCCTTTCATCCATTTTGAATTCATTTTTGTGTATGGTGTGAGGTGAGGGTCCAACTCACTTTTTACATGGGGAGATCCAGTTTGTAGAGAACCACTTTCCCCAGCATCGCCATCAAGCAGGACATGTAAAAAGTGCTCTTAGAGGCAACACACATAACCTTACAGGTTATCAGTTCCATGGACAGAGAAGTTTTACTTCAGATATAGTTTCCAGTTTTTCTCGTTGCTGTCTGTGAGGGTAGCTCTTATGAGACCCAGGAGGGCTGATCACATTGATGTTTATTTCAGATTCCAAATAATGTGGAGTTCTGTAGTGTTTTGGATTCAAAATTAGTAAAATAAAGGTTTAAAATTTTTTTTTATGGGGCAGGGAGGGAAATGTACAATAATGAATTAATGGAAATCCAAGTTCTTTATAAACTTTCATTAAAATATTGATAAAAATGTTTTTGTATAAATACATTCAGATGATACAAAAATGTGGTGTTGTTGTTATGTGGCATTGAGTCGCTTGTGACTCATAGCAACCCTATGTACAACAGCCTTAAACTCTGCTCTTTCCTGTGCCAGTTGCACTGTCTCTGACACACCCATCCCGATTACCCCAGTCACTGAATCAATCCACCTCACAGAGGGCCTTTCCCTCTTGCCCTGTCCCTCCACCCTACCAAGCATGATGTCCCTCTCCAAGGACCGGTCCCTCCTTACAACATGTCCAAAGTATGTTAGACAGAGCCTCAGAATCCTTGCC